ATCTCTCTCTCAGGAACTCGGAAGAACTAAATGGAAAAAAGTTTTGAAGGCACAAGACAATCAGTTCTTGCAAAAATGAACTTTTATTGTACTGTATAAAAGAAATAAATTGTTGATTACAATGGTGGGACGAACATCCTTTATATAGGGTGGAGTCATTGTTGTAGTATGACTAATTCTTGAAAATAATAATAAAAATAACAATAAAAATAAAATCTTTATTCCTAATAAAAATAAACTAAAGATAATTGTTTTAAATCTATTTTAATTCCTAATAAAATAATAAATCTAATCCTAAAAGAAAATGCATCATCCTATATTATATTATATTACAATTAATCAATAAAATATTGAAAAATTCGTAATATTTACAAAATCTCTTATTAATCTCGTATAGGAATTTATTCATGCATTGTCTTCACTAAAATGAGTGTATCATGAGTTCCTAATATTATATTGATGTGATTCAAGAACCATTGGAAATCTAAAAGAGATCCGGTCGTAACTTTAGAAGAACATCAAGATCCTATTAAAAAAGCAGTCGCAAGTCTGCTGCTATTATGTTATTCTTTTCTAATGCTTGGTCGTGTGGATCAATTGTAAGGGTTAGTCCATCTTCCTTGGATGTGAGTCTTGTGATTCATTTATCACTACTATTGAATTCACTATTAGATAAATTTTCATCTACCCTCATTGACTAGGGCTATAAAAAGATGACCCGACCTGTAAAACTGATTGAAACCGACTCAAGTCAAAACTATTTTTGACCTGCACTGTGGCGATCCAAAACCGACTCGAGTCGGAGCTGGTGTTGACCTGAACCCGATTTGGACCTGGAAATTATGGATCCGAACCGGACCTGAGAACGACTTGAACCCGAATAGAACCAAAAATATGATACCCGAACTGCATCCAACTGATATGAACCCAAAACCGAGATTGACCTGGTAAATAACTAGTATTACCCGACCTATTTTCAACCTGACCTGTTTTCAACCTGATATGTTTTTAACCTGACCTGTAAATGATCCAACTTGTTAATGACCTGATCTGATAATTATCTGACTTATATATTACCATGGAAATCTTATACTTTATCAATTTTTTAACTTATGATGTAATTAAAATATTAATATAAATACTTTTTAAATGTTATAATAAAATATTTATTATGATAATTATATTAATAAATAGTCTTATTATATAAAATTATTTAATAAAATTAATAAAAGTATTTAAATGTAAATTAGATAAAACATTATTAATAATGCAAAGGAAAATTAATATAGTTTAATTTATATAAAGAAAAAATAATATTAATAATAAAAGTATTTATTATGTAATATATATTAATGGTTTACATTAATAATATAAATAATTTTTAATTAATTTGATAATAAATGAATATTAGTATTAAACGTGAATATAAATATAAACTATACCGTTTAATTTTTGTACAAAAAATTATCCAACAATTATAACATAAATGAAAAATAATATAAATATAAACTATATCGTTTATATAAACTATATATTTTATTACTTTATATAGTTTATGCATAGTAAAAGATTCTAAAATTAACATTAACATTTAATAATTAGACTACATGTATTACAAATATATGCATTTAATAAAAAAACAAAAACCCTAAACTACTCCTAGCCACCGATTTTTATGGTGTAGGAGGGAAAATTTTTGACTTTGGTTTTTGAAAGGAGACAAAGCACTAAATGTTGGTCTAACTTTTTAGGTGGTGTAATGTCACTGATCCATGGCTAAAGGTACCAACAAATTCCAACCCTTGGATCAAAAGTAGATCCAATGGCCAAGATATTGTCTTCTCCAAGAAGACTCCAAGCTTCATTAACGTCCTATATATATATATATATTAATTTTAGAATCTTTTATCTTAGTCACTTATGTTTAATTATATATATATATATATATATATATATTACTCAAAGTGAGTGGTGGGAGAAAACTTTTTAAAAGAAATATTTGTGTGCGAAATTTTTTTGATTTTATTTGGGAATTTAGAGGGAAATTAGGAAATTTTGAGAATATAGGGAAATTGGAAATTTAGAGGGAATAGAAATTTTTGGGAAGTTGGCACCAAATATAGTGTCCAACAAGATATTTTGGGTTAATTAGGCTCATGCTCCTCCAACAATCATCATTTTCCACTTGTATTTGATTTTTAATTTCTTTCATTTTAGTCATGGTTTAATTGTAAATATCTTCTTAAAATTTCAATTCGATGCTATTTATAGAAACACTATGCATAAGCTATATAAAGTAATAAAATATATAGTTTATATAAACCCTAAACCCTAAACTATAAACCATAAATCATAAACGATAAACCCTAAATCATAAACACTAAACCATAAACCATAAACCATAAACCCTAAAATATGTATAAACCATGTATAGTATATATATATATATATATATATATAAACTATATAAAGTAATAAAGTATATAGTTTATAGAAACCCTAAACCCTAAATAGAATAATGCATACATATATATACTATATTAATATAGATTATAACATATAAACTATATAGTTTATATAGTTTATATATATATATATATATACTATATTAATATAAATAATATTTTATAAACTATATACTTTTTATAGTTTATACATATATAGTTTATATACATAGTTTATATATATAGTTCACATAAACATAATTTATATATATAGCTTATAATAATTATATAGTTTATAATATAAATATAGTTTATTATTTTATATACATAGTTTATATATATAGTTCACATTAATATAATTTATATATATAGTTTATAATAATTATATAGTTTATAATAAAAATATAGTTTATATATAATTTTATATTATATATATATTATATTTTTCAATTTTTTAAATGAATGCAAGTTAGTATATTTTTCATTATTTCTTCATGTTTTGCATTTATTTCGATTTAATAATTTTTTGTTTTTTAATTTATTTCAATTTTAAGTCTTTCACTTTTATATGTATTCAATTTAGTCCTTAAATTTATATTTACATATTCCATTGTTAGTTGTTATTTATTTATATTTTTGTAATTGGGCCATAATTTTTTAAATGTGTTTAATTTATCCTTTTTTATATTAATTTAAACCTCACATTTTAAATTTATTTTGATTTAGTCTCTTACCTATGTTGTTGTTTAATTTATATTTTAAAATTTTATTTGTAATTTTACATTTCTTCAATTTTGTCATTAAATTTATATTTTTTTACAAAATTGATCAATGAATATTTATTTTTCTCCTAATTCACTCGAAATCATATACAATTACAACTTGCAATTCAACAATCACGAAAGATGACAAAATAATTAATCCAAAAAATAAAAACGACCCGACCTGATCTCAATCTGTATCCAATAAACATCCGACCTGAATTTTATCTGTCAATGATGTGACCCGATCTGAACGAGATCCGAATGAAGTCCACCTGAACCTGAATTAACCTGGTCTTTATCTGCTTTGGATCTGAACTGTTTTTACCTGAGCTGATATCGATCCAAACTAAAAATGATCCGACCTGAACCCGATCTGGATTTGGTATCAAATCAACCTGAAAATAACCCGAACTGATTTGACTTGACCTGAACCCGATATGGATCTAGTGTCAAATCAACCTGAGTTGACATGTACCCGATCTGCCAAGATCCAACTGAAACCTGTCCGATTACTTGATTTTACAGCCCTATCATTGACCTCTTAAAATTTACTCTTTGAGATCCACTACCACAACTAACGTTCAACCCATCAACACTACTCACTCCCAAACTAGTATTTAAAACTTGTGCAGAATCCCCTACAACAGGCTCTAACTCTAAATCTTTAGTCATTTCCTATAGCTTGAACTGCACAAAACAAACTTTACACCAAACAAGTTAAATTCAACCATTGATATAAAATATTTAAATTTCATACCCAAGCCCCCATCTAACTAACCATCAGTCAAGTAGTCAACGCTCAACACCAAATATACTCAATCGAATAACCCCCATTTACTCAATAACTTTTTGTGTAAAACAAGCTAAGGATAAAAACAAGTGTAATGTAAACTTCATTTAAACCAAAAATACTCAATAGATTAAACCCAATTTACCCAATAAACATGTTTAATTTAATGATACCTCCAAAGTAGAGAATTAAAATAAATACTAGTTGGGTATCATAACAAATACAAATATCAGCATATTTCTAAGTAAAATAAATTCAATCGTGGTGTATACCACGTTAGGGAAAAAATGTAAAAATATATATTCTATAATTGAATGTTGAAGTTGAATATTATCTTTTTCGCTTATCTTCTCTGTATCTTTTTTCGTCTCTGTTGAAATTTAATTGAATAGAAAAAAATAGAATAGAGATTTGGGGTTTTGAATGAGATATTAGTTTCAGGCAGGGGAAGCTTTTTTTCCAAATGAAGAAGACGCGTGATTGTTTTTAATTTATATTATTTTAATTAAAATATAATTTAAAAAAATAAAATAAATGTTTTGGTTAAAATATTAAATATGATGTTTCAACATATTATTGATTAAAAGATATATATTTTTAACGGGACTAACAGATAGGTTTAAAATAATAACAAAAGAATAGTATAAGTACCTGGTTTGATCAAAAATCAATTTAGGTATTTAAAACAAAAAAGAAGCGTAGTTTGAGGGCTGATTTTTCATTTAAGTCTTAAAAAAAATCTTGTGCTTCTTCTTTTTCTTCCAACATAAACCTGCAAAATAAGATTTCTTCCTTTAAAACCATGCAAAAGAGTACAATGGACAATTGAACAACCGCCAATTTATGAAAAATTTAAAATACATGTAGTTTCTTTGCTTTCAGCTTCATGTTTTCGTATTTCTGTTGATCGTAAAACCATTTCTTATACTCTATTTACTATTGGAATTTAACATAATCCAGGATTAATATAGTGAAACAATCATTAAAATTGCTATGTAAACGATGAAGATAATGGGAAAATACAAGATTAGGTAACATGCTTATTTTTATAAAATTCATGATGTGACCCTTCAATCTAATCTGGTTAAGAACTGAATCAATGATGTTACACAACTGACCAAAATTATAACTTTTAACTTAATTTGATTATTGTATAATTAATTAATCAATTTATAAATTTTAGGAACTACATGGTCATTACAGGATCAATCTCATGCATTAGGGACCAATCTAAATTAATCAGCATACTATGGAAACAATCCATGACCATCATTAATCATAAAAGGACTAAATTAAAAATTTTAAAGTTTACACACTATTAGTATCAATATTTTTCCTTTAATAACAATAATGATATCGATATTGAATTACTTTTCAAAATTTTGAAATTAAATATGACACTGATACCAAATTATAGTTTAAGATTCAGACCCCTCTAATGCGTATCGATAGTTAAACATTAGGTATCAATACCACTAGTGTAGTACCAATACCCTATGTCAGTAACAATATCCATAGTCCATGTTTTGGTACCAACATCATATACACTAAATTATTAAAATGCCAATTCAAAGATGCTTCAACTTGTACCAAAAATTTGGCCTAGACTATATATACAACATATAATGTCATGCCAATAATGTATCATAAAACTAATTTCACCCAAGTAACAAGTTTCATCAAGTGCATACATCATAGGCATGCTTGGACTCGAATAGCATACTTACTACTTTGTATATAATAGCCATGCCTTAAACTTATGCAATATGTCAACGTGAACACCTAAGCATACCAATAGCATTATGTCATCAAGTAATATATCAAATAGTATCAAAATATCATATACATCCAAAATACATTAAAATACTAATAAGTTAATTTACGTAGCCATCATACTAGGAGTTTTTAGGACCTTTATACTAACAAAAGAAGATGACTTACAACCACTAGATGCAATCTCAATCCACTAAAAGGTGTGATGTCTTAAAATTATTAAACACATAAAATAAACGTATAAAGCTTAGTTAGATAATCATAAACATAAGAATACTTTTGGATGATAATTTCATTATTATGGTAATAACATCGCAAGTTTAATATTTTTAACAATAAACATATCAATAGACACGTGTGACAATATATCAATAACATCAAATATAAGTCTGATGGTACTCTTTCAAATAATGGGTACATGAATCCCTACGTCACTGTCAATAGTACAAATAGCATACAATGGTGGTCAATCTCTCCATCACTACCGAGGGCATAAGTCCAACCAAATCAGCATCCCTTAGTCACTACTAAGACTAAAATCTCACAATATTTATGCAAGTGTTGTGGACTTTATGACATGCCAATTATATTCTCAAATCGATAAGGTAATCAAGAAAACAATAAAAATATAACATAACTTATCTATACCAATTTTATGCTCAAAGCTCACAATCGTTACAACAAGAAAATATACCTTTAATGACAAGCGCTAATTTATTACTTACAAAAAATATGTTATAAAAAATGTCATGTTTTTTAAAATCTGAATGATTTATGACTTACAATAATGTGTGTCATATTTAATAGTCATAATCTAAAAAATTTAACAAAAACACAGAATATACTTTTAATTGTGTGTCTTCTGTAAAAGTCACCTTTTAATTTTCCACATTATTTTCATCATTTCCTGCTTTTAGTTCTGGCCTCCTCGATAATCAGTTCACTCACACATTGCTTCCCCCTTTTTCTCTTTTTCCCTTTTTCTCTTTGCATCAGTGGACAATGGAAGCAATGCTTCTCGGCTTTCATCTCCTCAGCCCTAGCCTCTTAACTCCAAAACCCCTTAAAATTCCAGGTTAGTCTTCCACTGTTTGGTTCTATAGAAAAATCTAGAAGTTAAAGGAGTGAACATTAACAAAGAAGTGTTGAGCACCGTTTCGATTTTGCTTTTGGATTTTGGATTTTGAATCCTGGATTTTGATTTTCCCAGAGGGTAAAACTAAACGTTGTGGGATTCTACCTCATCTTCGTCTTCTCTTGATGACTCTACCGGCTTAAACCAAAATTCTGATCTCAGACCGGTTGGCCAACATTTCGGTTTGTTGACACTTACTGAACTTAGTCGTGGAAATGGCAATGACTTTGCCAATGCATCGTTGAATTGGGAGAGAGACAATGGTGATGAAGAAGACAACCAATTAATCGTGGAGAATCAGGATATATTAGGCGACGAAAGGCCCTCTAGTTCTACCAGTAGTGGATATGTCGGTGAGAGAGGAAGTAGTAGTGCCACGAGCGAGTCTAGGATCGATGAAACGAGTGAAATTGACGGTAATGAGATTCATGAAGTAAGGAACCATGGTTTCCTCGAAGGATTCTCCGTTAATCAGGCCTCCTTTTGGGTTCTTGGTAAACGCCATGTTGATGAGGTTAGCCATTCCAGTTCTTTTTCCTTGTTGAACAAAAAAATGGTTTAGCTTGTTTTTCGCTGAATTCAACAAATTTAAAGTTGGAAATGTTTATGAGGTTTTGGAATTTGGATCAGTCGATAACAATTTTATTGTTTGAGTGTAAGAATTATTAGCCTTTCATGGTTTGATTTGGAAACAAAAAGAAAGAAGCAACTTCAAACAATCTTTGTTATATTGCATCATGTTTAATTTAGGAATGAAGTGCAGGATGATGGTTCGATAGCATGGAGAAAGAGGAAGAAACACTTCTTTATTTTGAGTAATTCTGGTAAACCGATATATTCCAGGTGTGTTAGTAGTTCTTAGAAATGCTAACACTTGAAGGTGCAAAATCTGCACAAATAAAATGAACGGCTTGCTAATGGATCCTACTTTAATTCTTTTGTACATTTCACTTCCAGATATGGAGATGAACACAAACTAGTTGGTTTCTCAGATACGTTACAAGCCATCATTTCATTCGCGGAGAATGGGTAATTTGCTGGATATAGCTTACTTGGTTTTTAGTAATGATTCCCGTGCTTACTCAGTGCAATTATTTGGGAAACTTTATCATTTTTATGTCAGTTTCATGGGGTTTTAACATTTTGGTAATTGTTTTCAGGGGAGATCTTATCAAATTGATCAAGGCTGGGAAACACTAGGTATTGTTACACTTGCTACTTATGGATTTTAAATTTATGTACTTTCTAATTTTCCAGCTCTGCAATCAGTTGTTATTAGACAACTTGCATTTGAAATACTTTCTCATCCATTTAATGATTAATCTTTTAAGTATTTCTTTGAATTGATTTTTCAAATTTTTCAAATTGCATTCTTTAGAAATAAACATTGAGGGACTGCAATTTAATTTCTGTTTCACAGTAGTATAATCATCGTAGTTTCATTAAATATGGTGGAACCTTAATCCTCAAATAGTTTTGTAATATTTGCCAAGACGTGTCAATTAATTTTAAAAAGAAAAATGAATGATGTGATAGTAGTTTGTTTGATGTTATTATAAATAGACATGTTTAATTACGTGGAAAAAGAAGTGTTGGCCTTCTATTTTGCTTTTGGTTGATGATCTGGGTGATTTTTCTGCGGAGCTTAAACTGTCATTTTTTCAGCTTGGTATCAGCCCTCAGATCATTGCACCCATAATTATGTAGGTTTGTAATTTTTCATTGGTCATATAAGATTTGTTTTACATGATTGTGTAAACTTTTAAATTCCATATTTTTTTCTGCACTTCATGCTATGAAATCTATTTGCCACCCTCATGTTATATGTTTAAGTGGAGATAGATAGATAGATAGATAGATAGATGTTGAGGATGGTTGCTATGTTCTTTTAATATGGAATGGTTGTACAAAACTCTGATGCTTTTTGTTTCTCACAAGAAATTGGCAGGATATGACGCATATTCAACCTTTTCCTGGAATAAAACTTAAACATAATTTTCACATGTTCTCTATTCATTTTTTCCATATATGCTTTATATTTGAGCTTTTATTTGTAAACTAAATTCTCATGGTTTTTGCAGGGTTATGCATGTGATGGTGACATCTTTACTTTTGGTTTGTGGTGCAATGACTATGACATGGATCTGTGATACGATATCAGAATCCGGATTTAGTATCATTCTTATTACATTTACTCCTTATTTATTTCAATTGTTACAGAAAAGTTTTTAATTTAATAAGAACAACTGAGTAACTGACCGAATAAATGTAAAGCTAATGATTATTTTCTCTAGAATCTATAATGAGGAAAACTCTGGAAATAGAGATTTAAGAAAAAGAGTTTATTCGATGCACAGAGACCTTATGTTGGATTGGAGGAAATAATAGGAAATAGTTATATTCTTCTCATATATTCACCTTGAGACGAGAAATATGCTTTTATCCAAGATTATAAAAGTTATAGAAATTCATTAAAAGTTTCAGCCTTTCACCTTGCCCAAAGTCAAGGAAAGTTCATATAAAATTGGTGTGCTTTTTAAAGATCCTGTTTTCTTACATTTTGAAAGTGATGAAGTTTCACATTACTGCGATGTTTTGAGTATTGTGGCCTTCTTAATTCACAACTTGTGTGTTTGAGGTCAAGGTTCGTCTCTAATTATATGTGTTGGAATATTAACTGGATACATAGATACGCTGTATGAGATGTTGACTCAACTCTCAAGTATGCCACATGTGCTGACTAAGGTCGTCTTCTTAAGTTAGATTCGATGTTGTCTGGTATCGATACCCTTACCATAGTATTGCTACTACCTCATAGGTATCGATACTGATTGAATCAATATCGATACTACTCAGCTAATTCATCCCGTTTTAGCCTATAGTATCGGTACTGTTCTATCAGTACCGATACCCTTGCCAAGATTTTCCAGTTTTCCACCCGATTATTAAAAAATTGACATCAAATTTCGTTATGATTACCTCCCAAAATGCTACTAAACTCTTCATTACTTATACATACTAACTTTCCCTCTTTTAGATACTTAAAACATCTAGTATCCCTCAAGATCATTTGATTGTAAGAATCACACTGTAATTTCTATCTTGTTTTTTTAACTCATCCAATGTTTTAATCTCTCATTTATCTCTTTAACAAGTCAAATCTACCAATAAACATCAATAAACACTCATATATTCACATATCATTTCAAAAAAAACCATTTTCTAAAATCTCCATTATTCCCTTATCTCCTCATTTTAATCCCATCTAATCCTTCCTTATGCATATATATCACTTAATGTTACCAAAGCAACCCATAATTTAAAGGAAACATTAGCTAATGGAAATTTACCTTATGCTACTGATGAGAGAGCACCAACGTGAAGAAGAAGAAAAAGTGTAGGAATGCCTTACTTTCCTCTTTCTTCCTATTTCAAATCCCTAATCTATTTTTAAATTTATTTTCCTATTAAAAGAACAAAGTTCCCTCTTAACTTATCTATTGCTACAATTTAATCCAAAACACTATTTTAAATCATTTTCTTATCTTTTACCTTTATTCAAATTAGTCTTCCAATTTCAAATCTTTTCAATATAGTCTCTGACTAATATTTGAGGTATTCCCCTAAACAAAATTCATCCTCGAATTTAAAAACTTTATGTGTTTACCACAATACTTCAACTAGAGGAATCATTTTGGTTACGCGATTTCTGGATTTCTCTAATCTAGATCTGTATTGGTTCTTTTTCATAATTTAATTCTAATTGAATCTTTATTTTCGCCCAAAATAAGAACATGCAATGGATTTGATTGGTCATTAATAAGCAATGACACATGAAAACATTACAAGTCTTGTACATTTCAGAAGACAAAAGCTAACTGATAAAATCTATCAAGGTTCAATAATTCTCAAACTCAGTCCCAACCGCGATACTTACTTCCAAAGCGATACTTTCAGAAAACTTTACCATTTTCTTGTTACTCAATCACTTTTGTATTTAGATTAGCATAAGACTTTGGTAATTAGCACAACTATAGCACCACTCACTATACAATTAATGACATCAAATCTTTTAAGGTACTCGACTACGGCTGACTCTAAATCATGTGTAGATAATTCCTATTATGAGTCTTTAACTTTATTAAGGCATAGGTCACAACCTTACCTTTTTGCATAAGCACACTTTCTAAACCATTGATATATGCATTAGTAAAAACCACATAATCCTTACCCAACTCAAGTTGTATAAAAGATGGTATCTTTGTTACAATCCTCTTTAGTATTTCAAAACTCTCTTGACCCTTTTTCATGCTACAAAAGACATATCTTTCCTTAAAACTTGGTTAGCAACAAAGCTAACGACAAAAAGTTTTTCACTAACATTCGATAGTAAACAGCAAGCCCCAAAGAAATATGGACTTCAGGATCATTCTTTGGGAGTTTCCAATTTACTACAACATGAGTTCTTCTTAGGATCTACTCTTATACCTTATATCAAAACAACATGGCCACAGAAAACCATCTCTGCTAACCAAAGTTTCACATTGAATATTTTGGAAAACAAGTTCTTCCCTCGAAGAGTTTTTATTTAACTGTCAAAATCTATGTATAACCACATAGATTTATCTTTCTTTTCTCTACTAACACACATACTTCCCAAGATGAAATACTCGAGTTGATAAAACTTTGGTCAATCAACTCTTATAATTGAGCCTCTAATTCTCTTGACTCACTTAAGTCATTTAATACTAAATCATATAAACATGTTCAATACCTTAAAAATCATTAACCTTGAATTCCATCTTTCAATATGAAGGTAACTTTTTTTTATAGAAATAGGGCCTCATTAAAAACCCTCTTTATAACCATTAAACTCCTAGAAACTCAATAATCATATGAAGGAGGAAAAGAGTGCCTAAAGATTTATTACTAGAGCAAGATACAACTAGTTCAGAACATAAAATACAACAGAAAACCCCTTTAAACTAACCCCAAAGATAACCACCAAATACAAACAAAACACAAAACCTTGTGTTATCCCATGCATGATTTAGCTAAACAATCAGCTTCCACATTTATACATATGTTAACAAGCCTAGTAGTTACATTGAACTCACTAACTAACTTGGCTTTAACTCTGACCACTTGAAAAGACATCTATAAATTCCCAATATTTATGAAATTATCAAATAATTTCTACATTAATTACTTGAGTATCTATCACATTAACCATAAAACTATATATATTTTTCTGACATAATTTTCTTTCAGAATCATTATCGATATCACCTTGAGTGAGGATTTTACTTTCTCAATAAAACTATAATTTCTATACCCATCACATCTTTCTGAATTAATCGTCTTTGGAGACAAACAACTTATTTTCAATATGATTTTAAATCATCAAATGACACTTTCATCAGATCCACCGGAAACATAACCCCAAGAATATTTATTAAATTTTTACTACATGTTCAATTTATCTTTGCACCATGACCCATTAGGGTTTATTCATATCATCTCACTCGAGTTAAGTTAAATAGAATACTTTTACTTTAAAATCTTTCATTTCCTTCTTGAGGAAATCCATGTAACTTTCCAGATTCATTTAAAATATTCTCAAGCAATTGAAACATTTTCTCTCTCGGCAATAAAAGTCTAATTATCCACATAATTAAATAAGAATACTTGGCAACTTTGTAGCAATAACCTCATTGCAGTTAATGCAAAAATTACACTAGTAACCATATTTACTCTTATAAACAGTTGAAACTATTTAATAGATTCCTCCAATGCAGAAACATCATTAAACACGGGGGCATTCCTTCAACATAATGGAGGAAAATCCCTATAAGCTTCTACCCTTCTACGGTATTATACTAAAATCATGTCGGATTCTATTGAGTCAATTTTGATCTCGACCTTATTTTCAATATCATCTACTTTCTTACCTTTGTCCTTAGTTTCTGATATCTATTAGGACATACATAAGAATAATAATAAAGTTAATAAGGAGCGATATCAATCGCCCTCTAATTGACACCATATCAGTAACTTTAACAATCTTAATGGAATGTAATCCTTTTTACATTAAAATACATTCAATTTTGGCCGAGAATCGGCTAAACCTGTAGCTTTGATACCAATAAATATAACACCCATCTCCTGTATAACTTTCTGTATATGATATTTGGATGTCA